TTAGAACTCAGATCTTCTCATGGTCATTGTTGTGTTAAAAATGTGGACAAGTTAATTTTATAGATTTTGGCAGATTCTAGGATGATCTTGTATTAATTAAATACTTAACAGTTTTGTCGGAGATAACTAAATTAAAGTTTGCAAGAGTCAACACTCAGTTATGTCATCCATTAACTTTTTGTTTTATATTACATATATTTTCTGTTTGCTATAATTTATTTATTGTCTGTTTGTCCAGCAAGAGAACCAGTCCAGCCCAGAACTGACTCAGTGTGTCAGAAAGGATCTGGCCATGGCTTTGCGTGACTTGATGCAACATGGCCTTATGGAGATGGGTCAGTCCACCAGTTTGGTTCCATTTGGCTGTTTCCCCAGCAGGTCTGCCCAAGTCACTCACATGTTGCATGCCTGGGATTTGTTTCTCAAATATTATGAAATGAAAGTGAGTAGCTGTTCTTTCCCTTTTCTGGGCCATCATCTTTTTTTTTTTTATTTAACTATATAAGGGCATTCAATTGAAGTCATCCCAAAAAAATCCAGCCAAGAAAACTAGATCATTGTAGGCAAGGTACTAGACCAATTAGGGAAGATCATTAAGTAAACAAAATCTTTAACACCTTTTCTTATTGGATTTGAATGTAAAAAAAAGCTCATTGAATGGAAACTTGTGTTGCAGCATGGACGTGAATATAATGAGTCTCCAGCAAGAAAGTTGTCTCAATCTTTTCACCTTGACATGATTGGTGGCAAACCAATAACTGCTAAACAGACTTTCCTCGGGGCGATTGACACTGTTATCAATTCTCACACTCCCTTGAAACGAAGCGAAGATGCTCATCTTAAAGCCTTCATCTGCCTGGCACTTAAGTGAGTGACTGTTTCTAGATTTGCCTTCTTAACAGAAAACTATCAGAGGGCTAGATAATTAAACCTTAATGTAACACGAATACATAATGTTTCTTATTTCTGCTTTTGTTTTTATTACAGTGAGAGAAAGCTAGTGACTTGGCTACGTCTACTGTTTAGAACACAAACATTGATTGACACTTATTATCAAGACTGGAGCTATGTGGCCAGGACTGGTCTGTTACCATCTATTTACATTTTTTTTTTCAGATTTTTCATGTGTGTTTAGGCTGTAGGATTTTAAAATATATATGCAAGTACTAATAAAATAAAGAACTTTGTAGCAGAATACTGTTTTTCTTTGTTAAGGTCTCCTTGATAACATACTTTCTTAATTCAACATATCCCCATTGTTAAGATTACAATACTTTGGCTAATCTTTGATCAGTTTAGTGAGATTTACATGTCTTTTTGACTGTTTATGGCTAGAAAAAAGAAAGCCAGATGAATCATTAAATTTTACAATTTTGTTAGGAACAAAGAGAATTTTTTTTATTGACCAAGTTTTATGTTTTTCATGATAATAGGTTTTGAAGATGCTCTAAGGTCCTTGGAGCGTTTATTGGTGATCAACTTCAGCCTACCAGTGGATCTGGCTGTTAGAACATTTAGCAACATCAAAGATGCATTTTAACCTTTACACATGAAATCACAGTTCCAGAAAGTCATGAACAACAAGTTTGTGATGATTGTGACTTGACAGTTCTCTACTTACACAGTCATTCATTAAGTCTAGTCATTCCAATGCATTTCACATTATCTTAAAACAATACAAGATGACAACAAAACTTTTTTGTCTACATTGATATAATTTTCAAAATTTGCTTCATTGATATATTTTGCATTGAAGATGTTAATCATCATTTAAAAAAAAAATGGGTTTGCAGCATTTAGTTCTGACGTTATTTAAAATATGTACCAAAAAAAAATTAACATTGAAAACGTTAAATAGCCCAGTGTCTATCACTGGTTAACTTGTCAAGCGATTTTTCTTTTTTTTTTCTTGAGTAGCTTCTTATTTTCAGTAGACAAAAGCAGATTTGCTTTTAATTTTTTTCCCTAGACAAATAGTAGGGAATGTTTTTTATTTGAGGCTTATATTAATTAATTTAACTGACTTGGGGATTTGTTCTGTTTTCAAGTAGAGTATTATACAAACAAATCCATGTCTATTTTCCTGTTTTGATGGACATTCCTTTGATGGCTAATCAGTTAGGTGGTAAATGACCTAATAGTAGGGCCACTGATTGTATATAGTTTACTGTAGTTCATGTCATTGGTATTCTATGTATAAAGTTGTTGAGTGTATACACTGGCATCAAACTTGGCCATTTATCTCAGAAGAAATATTACTTTGAGTCAAAATATGACATCACTTTAAGAATGGTCAAATCTTCACGAAGTTCATTGATTGCAATTTGACTTAGTTGAGTAATTTGGTGGGCGAGGAACAGTACAACATAAAATCACTTTGACCAGCACTCAAATGAATTAGATGGAACAATTCAAAGTTTTCCTCTCCCCCACCTCTGTTTATTGTAACAGAACTATGATCCTTTCTGTGTCCAAACTTAACAGCCATAATATTTGAAGCTCACATCTTAATGATAAAACTATGCTTTTAAATTACTGTACATTTTATCATGAGATCAATTGTTGTTTTATTTTGTTATATTTCTCTGACATAATTGTCTGGCTAGAAACATACAAACTTGTCTTCTATATTGCCAGTTGAATGTAATAAGCACCATGTCAGGTGCCTGAAGAGACATAAATACAGCATTTTGAAATGGCAGTCATATTATTGCCACAGTATTTTGCAAACCTAATGTGAATCTTGTCATCACTTTTTTGTGTGTGTTAAACATTTAGTACAAACAGTCCTAAAGGAAATACTTAAACTATTCTTTATACATTGGATTCTAGTCATGAGATATGTCTGCTAATTCCCAAGCTCTTAGATATGGCCCTAAATAATAACAAAAAAGTTCATTTAATAAAACCACATCTAAGCTAGTTGTCAACTTTCTTAATGTCTTGAACAAAAAAAAAACATTTTTCAACCAAAATTTTTTTTTATTGAAAAACAAAACAAAACAAAAACAACTTTTCCTTCATTTCTACCCAAACTAAATGTACCAAATTAGAAGAAAATTTTTTTTTGTTTGCTTTATTTAATAATCTAAAATGAAATTTTAAATTACAAAGTTATATGTATATCGTGACAAGCAATTTGTTCTGGTGTCTTTCTGTATCTCTGTTGTCTTGAAACACTGTAATGATGTAATTTTTGTGAACATTCAATCACATTTTGAGAGCTAGCATGATTCCAAATGAAGCTGTAAAAACTTTATCAGTTGTAAATGCCAAAATAAATTAACAATACAGTTAAACTGAACAGTAAAAACAATAGATTTTGAAAGCAGATAGTCCCATCGACACTGATTGGCTCTAATGTGTTTCAAGAAATATTTATTTATTTTTTTTAAAATAAAAACAATGATAGATTTTAAAAATTACACTTAGTCCCATCCACACAGATTGACTCTAATGTGTTCTATTTCTGTATCGTTGTCTTTTTTTTGTTCTAAAGCTCATTTTATGTGCAATAATTTATTGTTTTATTTTTGGTTTTCTTTGAAGTATTTGTTAAAAATGTAGTCACATTGGTTCATTCGTATATGGTTTCAATGTGTGTACACTATTTTGTGCTTTAATTTATTCTGTGCCACATTGTGTTGACTTATTCTCATGATTTTACTTTTGGTTGTGATATTTTACACTTTGGCTGGGGATTTTTGTTTTGTTTTATTTTTCTGGTTTACATTTTTAAATTTTGATTTCCATGAAGAATCATTCCACACACTGGAACTATTGTTGTATTGTGAATCAAGAAGTAGAGAGACATTAGACAGGGAAAACTTTCTGAGGTTTTAATAATATTCACCTAAGAATTGAATAGCTGTATATTTTTGTTATTTGAATTTCTGTGGAGCATGTTCCCAACACTGTAGTATTTGGATCAATATCTGTTTTTGTTCAATGATTAGCAGGCTATTGTGTTTAGTTAAAACAGATTTAATAGGTATTCTTATAATTACATATGAGATTGTATATTTAAACAAGGTTACAAAGGGAGTTTGTGTTATATACAAGTTCATAGATTTTTGCTGCATGAGATTGTAAGCAGCAACTGCATGTCTGTGGTTTTGTGACCATTGCAGGTCTAATGTTAAGCCAGAAACTTAAATATGCACATAGCATTTGTATTCCATACATTGCTTCCCTTAGGTCAACAGTGTGTACACATATATGCAAATTCAATAAATAAAAACAGATCCCTTAAAAAAAATTGGCCCTGCAAATATTGTTCAAGAATAAAATATTTAGTCTATGGCTTCAAACAGTCAGACATTAATCTGTAACTTTGACCATTTGAAACAGTTTATAAGTTGCAATTCCTTTTGGTGTTTTTTTTTTTTTTTTGTTTGTCCATACATTTTAAATTGCTAATAAAAAAAACAACACTCTGAAGTATAAACATCATGATGAAATAGTCTTTTTAGTTGTACTTTTTAGAGATCTAAGTGTAACACAAACTTCCCTTTTTTTTTTTTTAAATTTATGGACATGTTTATACATACATGCATTCAAAAGGAAAAAAAAAGAGAGTCCCTTATGAAAGACTCTCAATAGCCATCAATTTCTTGCAAGAGGAAGATTCATTAGCCATCAATATCTTGCAAGAGGAAGATTCATTAGCCATCAGTTTCTTGCAAGAGGAAGATTCATTAGCCATCAATATTTTGCAAGAGGAAGATTCATTAGCCATCAATTTCTTGCAAGAGGAAGATTCATTAGCCATCAATATCTTGCAAGAGGAAGATTCATTAGCCATCAATATCTTGCAAGAGGAAGATTCATGAGCCATCAATTTCTTGCAAGAGGAAGATTCATTAGCCATCAATATCTTGCAAGAGGAAGATTCATTAGCCATCAATTTCTTGCAAGAGGAAGATTCATTAGCCATCAATATCTTGCAAGAAGAAGATTCATTAGCCATCAATATCTTGCAAGAGGAAGATTCATTAGCCATCAATATCTTGCAAGAGGAAGATGATTGCAAGATTAAATTTTTATTGTTTTTTTTTTGTCTTTGAACTCTAAAAGTAACAGAGTGACAAACACACAGTTACTTTTCTTTCTTAACTATGTACATTGTCCATTCAACTATGTACATTGTCCAGTCAACTTTGTATATTGAAGATCTGAAGGCTATAATCTCTCATTTGAATATTTGTTTGACTCTAGGTATCTTGTGCTAGTTAGGGAACACTTTTAATTAGCATGAGCAAATTGATAAAAGAAAGCATTTGATTTATTAGAATTCTTTCATATTCTAGTCTTATAATCTACTAATTACTCTATTATTAAACCAAATTCAAAAGAAAAGAATGGCAAATAAATTCAAGCAGAATGAAGAATTATTTGTTGCATTAAATTTGATATAATTTAGTGGGATTTTTTTTGATGTGACAGATTTACTTCTGAAATTGTTTGTGTCATTATGATTTTCAATTTATTTCATTGTCCTGTCCTGCAGCTCTGAACAAATAACTCAAATTTATTGATAACCAACTGGGTCACATCTGAAAATTACTAGCATGTAGACATTTTTAATTAGCTGTACCAAAATTACTTTCTTATAACTTTTACAATGAAGTCTTAATAATTAAAGGGAATCTTCTTTCAGCCTGTTAACCCTGTAGACAAAAACTTGGAGCAAAGTTAGTCTCTGGCTTGGCTAGTAACTTAAGAATTATTTGTTTTAGACCTGGATAATTGGAAGTTGCCTGGGCTACAAGCATGGCTTCTTACATTGTAAGTTCAGATCCTTTACATTGCTGGAGATATGACCTGACCAGTCCATCAAGTGTTCTGTTTTGTGTAGGACATGTATTACAAGCAATATTTTGAAAGACTTTTTAAGACAAGACTTCTTACTTGACTCTGGAGGATAAGTCTAGACATTTTTTGTGTTTTCGCTTTAAAAGAAATTACAAATGAAAAATTAATTTCTAAAAAAGGTTGTGCTGATAAATGAAGTTAAAATACTTGAGCTCCTTTTCAAATGAATGTGTTTATTATTAGACTTGCAGACTTTTCATTTTGATTCAGAGTAAAATCATTGAGCATGATGACTGAGTGGTAAAGTGCTTGGCTTCTGAACTGAGTAGTTTTGGGTTCAAATCTCAGTGAAGACTCAATATTTTGAGTTTCAGGATTTTCAGGTCACCCCAGAGTCCACCCAACTCTAATGGGTTCCTGAAACTAGTTGGTGAAAGTAAAGGCTGCTAGTCTTGTTAGCCACATAACACCCTTGTTAACCATCAGCCATAAAAACATGACCTTAACATAATCTGCCCGATACATTGCAAGATAAAGAATTATATGAATCTGGAACACTTTGTCTTGCCTGTTGCTGCTTTAACATACTCCCTATTCTGTTAAGCGACATACAAAATGGAAGAAGAAATTCCATCTGAGTTTAAGATAGTAACCCATTATTTTCTGGATGATTCAATAATTAAGATGTCAAAATATGAACAGATGGGTCAACACTAAAACAGATGGTGAAAACATTCAATAAAATATACACCACAATATTCACAAGAATGATTAACATGTTTAATCTATATCTTTCATAAAAACAAATGGAGTGTTACAAAGGCTCACTGATAAGGCATACATATATACAGAATATATATATTTTTTTTCCACAGTGTAATGTTAGTAAACAATTTCCAACCAGTAAGCATTAGATGTCAATTCAACATAATGTGAACAATAATTTCTATAAAGGCCAAATATCAAACAGTACAATTGTATTTTTTTTATTGACATAGGAGAACCACAAAAATCTTATTGTCATTGGGATGAAAAGAACTATCAGATTGTAACAAACGAGCAACTTGAAAATTTCAGAACAGTCTATGTATAACCAACACAAATCAGAAGGTTCTGGAATCATGAGGTTGTTACAAGCTAACAAACAAAAAAAAAAGCCCTAACTTTATTAATGTTTTGAATGCATGGCACAAGGATTGTCAATGTACTTCTGAAGTGAAAAGAAACCAAATATTAGTATAAACTGATAATGAACAACTTTTTTCCACTATGTTTAATGTAGGAATTAAAAACAATTCAGAGAAGTTTATTCTTTAAATGATAAAAAAAAATAAAATTTAAATAATTTCTCAACAGAAAAAAGTCTGAATGCAACAATAGACTGTAAAATAATCACATTTGATAAAGTTACACTAGCATCACAAGATAAAAGAACATTACTTAACAAATGCACAAACCTATAAAACAAAATACTAACTAGTAAAGACAAATGTGCAAATCTGTCAAATAAAAACAAAATCTGTCCTAGTCTAACACTTATAGAGAGAACAAAGAAGATTTTATAAACGTCTGCTTTGGGGGTTTCTTTATTCATTCTGAGACTGTTGAACAGTTACTTGATAGGAGAAACATAAGAATCAAAGTGATACACCAAAGATTTACTGAACTGAACATAGCAGGGAATCAGTCTGTAACAACAGACTTAATTTTAGAATTCCTACTGGAGTTGCCCAATTGAATAAATGCTTCACATAACAACAAGAAAGTCAAAATAATCTTTCAGTGCTAGAAGTTTCTTTGAAACACATTTTGCAAAATAAAAATTGGGGAAAACATTTTCAATTGAAGTCAATAGTAATAAAACATGACATGAGGCAGTTGTTCCTGAGAAATAAGAGGAAAACTAAAACTACATTGAAAAGTGTAAACCAAAAAAAAAATTAATTGAGCAAAGTTTCTTTTTTATTTGAAATGAAGCTAGACAAGAGGATGAGTTCTTCAGTATTTAACTCCTGGCAGTCTAGAACTTTGTTGACAAGTGTACAATGAATTGGACCATCATCAGGTTTAGTCCACTTTAAAATATAGTTCCCTTTTCTAGATGTATAGGATATAAGAGCAGTCATGTCTTGTTTCAGCTAAATGCACCAGTGTCTCTGAAAGCTATCACTAGAGCATGTTATATTATTCTAGTTACACAGAAGCACTCTAACTTTTACTAAAAGATCAAAGAATTCAATGAGATAAACTGACCATGTTGTGATGGGAATTAGGGCTTTTAACTTGTGTAATTAGCATAATGAAAAGAGTCTAGCAGGGGCATTGATTACAACAAGACCAAAAGATTGGTTCAGTGACAGGAAAAAAACATTTCATTTAGGAATAAGATTTTTTTTTGTTTTTCTATTTATTTTCAGATAACTATGACTTCCTAATCAATATTAATGTGATCATATAATTAACTCTTTATTGACTTCCTAGTCTCAATATTATTGTAATTAGATAATGCACTAGTAATAACAGCAACATTGTGAAAAAAAAAGACAATTAAAGCTTTGGACAAAGAAGCAAAGATGTATCGAAAAAATAACAACAACAAAAAAACTCCAATTTAAACATAAGCTAGAGCTATTTGAAATAAAGCAATTGATCATGACAGTATTGCTTTCAAGTTTCACCAAAAACCTATCACTGATTTAAAGTGTTACCCCCTTGAAATGAATTTCATGTCATTGTAAAATACAGAAAAAAAATGCAGGCAATTCAAATCATATTCTCCCAATGCTATATGAACAAGGTCACCATGTGGAGTCTAGGATATGTATTTGGCACAAAATTCACTTGAGATTGAGCTGGACATGACATCGAACTATTGCATGAACTATTTATAGTCAACAAGAAATAGAAACAGTTTGTTACTTATGTGTTTCATTCACACACATGACAAGTAGAAGCACATGACAGTTTGTCATTTACATGTTTCATTCATACACATGACAATAAAAACCATAATTTTGAGTCCCAAACATTTCTTAAAATATTCCTCTGAATGATGACAGTGTAGATACTAAAGCTCACTCCTGCACAATACAAGTAGAACAACAAAATGATGACAAGACAACTTTATTCTGTTCAAATGAAAGATAAAAAGTTTAGAAGGAAGCACTTCTTTGTCTTAAAAAAAACTTTTAAATGATTGTTAATAAAAAAATATGTAATTAAAAACCTATATTAACCCAGTTAGACACATTAGGTGGATGTTAGGAATGTTCTTGACCCATATTAATGAGATCAAGAAAAGTTTGTTTGCTTTCCTATTGATTTCCTTGTGAAAAATAACTAGAACTCAAGTCTCAAGTGCTTATATTTTCTCATGCTTGTAAACACAAAACAAATATGAACCTTTCAAAACTTTGATCCCATAGATTAATTTGTGGCTTAATTTTCTCTAAAAAAAAGTATACATTACAACAATCTAAACACAATATTTCATCCAAATTGAACATCTTTCTTTAACATGATTTTTTAAATTCAGTGTAATATTCCTACCACAAAGACACGTTCCATGTTACACAATCAAAATGCTGAAAAGAAAGGCTTGTCATAATATTCTAAACAAAAAAAAAAAAAAGATTGAACTGCGCTAGAGGTAAAAATGTCTGGAATGTTCAGTCACTGAGTTAAGTTTTCAGATATAGTTGCTATACAGGGCTGTCAGTAGAGAATCAACACATAAGGATTAGATGGGTCACAGTTTTGTAGTAAAACATAATAGTATTTAAATAAAATTTTGGTAGAACAAACTAATCAATATCTCCTAAAGTGAAACGTTATTAATTTAGTGTAAGGACTATGTCTTGTCTTTTGTATGCGCTGGACAATTAATCAAAGTAGCAATTAGGCATCCCTGTGTTCTCTCTAGATGTCTTTAGTGAGAACAGTTTGCTACCAGTTTCAATCAACATCATCTTTTTAAAGTGTGAACAACAAAATTATACCCTACCCTAATTATCAAACAACTATTTGTATGGATTCAACCAAAGATTATACAGATCAATAGTAATTAAACATTGTAGCATTGAAGACACCTTGAAATTTTCAATATCAGCAAAAAATGTTGGACAAAATTTGAAAGACACGTGTGACCTTGGCCTACTGCTCCTGAATTAAACTTTGCTTTATTGATTTACTGGATGCAGTCTTGCTTCTGCTCTAGATGATGCAAATCAATTCTTTTTATAGCTTCAAGAAGTGTCTGTTGGAGCATGCATTAGAAACAAAATATACAGATCTATGCAGAAGAAAAACCATTTAACATTTCTGAAGTATCACAAGCTTTAAACTAAAAGTTTGACCTGGTCCTAATGTCTTTAGGTTAAGGGAAAATAACTTTTATATATTTATGTGCATATTTATGTTTTTAAAAATAGAATAGTGTGACCATGATAGAGACACTACCTTTAATAGTACTATAACTACACTAATTATAGCGCAGTGTATCTGTTACAAGAGACCCTGTACATGTTAACAGGGGGTGAAACACTAAAGAGAACAATGTGTACCAAGTGATAGGCTGA